CTTGCAACTCTGTTCTATGGAAGGCAGTGACAGGAAAGGGTCTCTGGAAGTTGGTGTCTCATAGCCTAGCTCCAAGTTCAGATACTCAACTATGTCTGCCTCCCATAACGCTATGGTTACAAGCACATGTGCAACTATGTGGCTTTTTACATGAGTGATGGGGACCTGACCTTAGGTTCTCACACAGCAATGTTCTTACCCACTAGGCCATCTCCACATCTCCCTTCTTAGTATTTCTTAAAGAAAACTAGTTGACAAAAGTGTTCAGTAGGGGGCTGGAGAGATGACTCAGAGGTTAAGAGCATTGCCTGCTCTTCCAAAGGTCCTGAGTTCAATTCCCAGCAAACACATGGTGGCTCACAACCATCTATAATGGGGTCTGGTGCCCTCTTCTGGCCTGAAGGCATACACACAGATAGAATATTGCATACAAAATAAATAAATATTTTAAAAAAAGTGTTCAGTAGGTAAGTGCTTGTTTTGCAAGCATGAAGACCTTGGTTTATATACTCAGCACTCAATTAGAAAGCTGGGCATAGTGATGTGTGCCTGTAGTCTTGGTGCTAAGGAAACAAAAACAGAGGATCCAGGAAATTTCCAGGACAACCAGTCTAACTGCATCAGTAAGTTCCAGGTTTAGTAAGAGACTCTGTCATTAAAAATTAAAGTGACAGGAAGAATACCAAACACATATCTGGACTCCCATATTCATACACACTTGAATACATATGAGAGAGAGAGAGAGAGAGAGAGAGAGAGAGAGAGAGAGAGAGAACAACTGTTTGCACTTTTTCACTCACTTGAAAAATGTGAAGTTAAAACAACAAAAACAGAACAGAACCACCAACCAAGCTTGGTGGCACACTTCTTTAAACCCGGTACTCGGAAGACAGAGGTAAGTAGATCTCTGTGAGTTTAAGGATAACCTGATTTATATAGTTAATTCCAGGCCAGCCAGGCCTGGAGAGATATCTTAGCATTTAAGAACAATTGCTGTTCTTCCAGAGGAAGCAAATTTGCTTCCCAGAACGCATAGCTCACAACCACCTATATCTAGTTCCAGAAGATCCAATACACTATTCTGCCTATGATAGTGGCTAGGCACCCAACAAAAACACACACCCCAAACACCACACACACACACATACACACACCACAACCACACGCACACACCACACCAACAACCACACACACACAGATAGAAAATGGCATTAATCCTGTACCAAATTTAAAAATTCATGAATATCTGCAGCTTCTCTAGAGGATAATGAGAACATCTATCATCTATCTATCTATCTATCATCTATCTATCATCTATCTATCTATCTATCTATCTATCTATCTATCATCTATCTATCATCTATATCTAATCTATCATCTATCTATCATCTATCTATCTATCTATCTATCATCTATCTATCTATCTAATCTATCATCTCTCTCTCAGCCTCAAAGGCAGATGACCTGGCAGAGTCGGTACAAGAAAAAGTTTGGAACTCAATCTAGGAAAGAGCCCAAAGGTAAGCCAGTTTCTGCCATTACCTTGCCTGTGAGGAGGCATGTTTCCCAGGTGAGTTGTAGAGGCCTAAGAGGGAAGGAAACAAGAATACCCTACTCAGGCTCTTGTGTTAGAAGAAAGCTGTGGTGAACCAGCTAACAGGTGTTCCTAACAGGGAGGGCTCTGGTCTATTAGGAGCAATATTACCAGGATTTGGAGGTGGGACCTTGAGTATAGCTGATTCTTTTCTGAGGTGACCCCATCCTTTCTCCCAGAGGTCAGTTAGAAGGATCATGAGGGGAGGGTGACAGCTATGGGATCTGCCCCTGAATGATTAAGTGTTGTCCATCCATCTATCTTGAGAACGATATTGATCATGGATTACATGACCTTGGATGTTAATGAGCAGGCCCTAGAGTCTAAGCTCATAATCTTTTCTAATGTGACACCCACAAATCTAGCTTACTATAAAAACCTTATGCCTTACCTTCACTATCATAACCCAGTGTCCTAATTTCCAGCTTGGAGAGAAAGCCTGGAAAAGCTGAAAGAAAAAGAAAAAGATGAATCATTTCTAGAAGAAATTAGCCCAAGATACCATTTGAATTATGTAGGGAACATGTTTAAGTCACCAAGTACTAAGCAAGACACCACTATCCTGCCACCCTTCTGGAACCTGAAAGAAAAATCAGAAGAGCAAACAGCCACTCAGAAACTATCATATCCTACCATCTCGGGGGACCATTGTCAAGAGAAATACAACCAGCTCTTTTGGGGTCTCCCTTCACTGCACAGTGAATCCCTAGTGGCTACTGCCTGGATCACTCAGGCTTCTTCTACTCTCCCTTCTCCCTTTTTCTTATTCAATGTCATCTCAACTGCTTATCCAGTTCAAATTCGGGAGAAGATGTCTCCAGGGCATTCCTGTACACGTCCTCTGTCCTACCTGGACCTCCAATCCCCACCCTTAATTTTGTCTCCACCCCAGTTCCAGACCCCAGCTCCGAATCAAGACCATCCTCAGTCCCCTCTCCCAGCCCAACTACCCTCTTCTCTACCCTACACAAGTGATCATGGAGATTATGGACCATCTTGTTCTCAGTCACAAAGTCAGCCACAGTGTCTCCCTAGAGAAATACAACACGCAGAAGGGTACTCACTAACAAAACTAGAAAGTAGGCTGCCTTTATCCTTGATGGTCCAGAGACCTCAAGAAGTCTATGATGTCTTGGCCCCCAACCTTTCCCAAGACTGGGCAGTCTCTATCCTTCCAGAAAATTTTCCTATCAGCTGTGAGCTCCGAGAGAAACTGGAGCAACACATTCAAAAGTGGCTCATTCAACACCAATGGGACCATCCTCATAAGATCCAGGAGTCTCTGGAAGTGATGCAGCTTCAGAACACAGTAACAGGACCTTGTCAAACCAGAGACAAACCAGGCCCCTCACGATCCTCTGTATCTATGGGTGACCATAGCAACGATGGCCACAAGATGAGATTTCAAGAAGAAAAAATATCTGGAAAGAATTTAGGACCAATTCTTGGCAAGATCTCAAAAGATCCAAACAGGTACTTGAAAAAAGCTCAAGTAACATTACAAGGGGCAAATCTTTTGAAGTCAGAAAGAAATCCAGTGAAGAGCTTGGAGAGAGACTTGAGAACTGACTCAAGAAAACACGCGAACAACAATCTAGAAAGCACCCTGAAAGCTCATGTGGGCAAAAAGTCAGAGCAAATTAATCAAGATCTGATCCCTCTGAGGGTGCGTCGATCCTGGCTTGCTATGAATTATGGTTTTTCCATGTCTGACATCAAAATGGAAACTAAAAATTTACCATCCTCAAAGAGTTTAGAAAAGTCCATGAGCTCCTCACAGAAGCTTGCCTTTCTTGATCCAGGCACTCACCAGGACCTGGAGAAACATAATGTAAGTTTTCGGGTGAAGCACAGGTGGGGCTTACCCCTCAAGATGCTCAAGCCCATAAATGTCATTAAGCTGAAAAAAGCTGAGTCCTTGCCCATTGCACTGTGTGACTCACTACCCTCAACCAGCACTGTATCTGAGACCAGTTCAGCAGTTGAGGTAGTCAGGTTCCTAGGAAAACCATGCCAGTTGAGAGAGGTGGTAATTGAGGATTCCTCTCCATCACTAGGGAGTCTTCTCCTTGTCTCCTCTCCTTCCTGTAAGGATATCGAGAAAACCCTGAGAGCATTTCCATCTGATGCTGACCATGAGCCTTCACAGGCCCTGCCAACCAAATCAGAGAGCAAGCATCATTCTGGAACTCTCCAACATAAATTCACAGATACACCATCTCACAGTGGGACTGTCTTAGAGAAAGAGAGAGAGACCCAAGAAGACATTTTACTGCCTAGAAGGACCATTGTCCAAACCCCAGGGGCACACAGTCACCAGGCAAAAACTTCTAGTGAGTTTCCACAAAGTGTGGAGACAGAATCAGCCAGCCAGACACACATCTATACCAGTGCTGTGCTCCTTCCAGAGCATCGCAGGAGCACACTGCTTCCTGCAGACACTTTGGCATCCCAGCGGTTAGGTGACATTGCAGTGGTAAGAGGGGACAAGAGCCTGGTGCAGCAGAAGCCCAATACTCCAAAGCATCAAGTCTCACCAAAGAGCCAAATCAAAGTGTTGGCAGCTAGTTACCAAGGTGAGGAAACTAAAAGACATCATCAGCCCCGGCCAAAACCCACACGGGTTCCTCCAGAAAGCCCCTTCAAAAAACTTGTGAGCCACTTTCTTCGATGGATTCACCCCAAGAAGGCAATCAAAGGGCATGAATCTCCTCCTAAGAAAGGTAAGATTACAGCAGCTACTGCCCAGAGTCAACAGAAGCCAGCCAAAAAGAAACCACGTGTGGACAGAAATGTTGCTGAAGCCCAGGAACTTACGAAAGCCCTTGGGCAGATGTTAGAAAAGAAAATGATGGAGCAACGTAAACTCTGTGCTTCCAAGGTAAAACAGCACAGGGAAACTCCTCCACTCCCCGCCCCTCAGTCTTCTTATAGCCATAAGCCAGCCTCTTACTCAGAGCAAAGAAGAGAACCCAGCCACTCAGGCAATTCCCCCTGCCAAAGGTATTCTACAAAGGAGTGGCACATCAAGGACCGACCATCTCAGAAAAATGTACAATTGAGCAATGAACCACAGACCCCTCAGAATCCCAGCCTCTTGGCCCCTAACACAGCCTTTAACCTAGTGTATCCTTCCCATTATGGAATAATAGTGCCAACTGTTACAAGTTGCAATTTCTTGTGTCCTGGGCACTGTGGTGCTCAGAGAATTATCTTTAGACAACTAGAAAATTCCTCTTTGGTTTTACTTACAGGAAAGTAAAATCGAAAGAAAAAAAAAACTTAGTCCATGTAAAAATTATTTTTCTCATGTTAATATATTCAAGATATTTAATGTAGAACCAAACATGTATCTTCCCCTTAATAAAGAGTGATGATTTCTCTCTGTTCCATGTTTCATATGGGCCTTGGTTTCTACCAAAGATAAACGGGGATGGGTGATTGGCAGAGATAGTGCAAACCCACTTCCATAAAAACTCTTGACATCAAAACACTGTTTCCAATGTCCAGGGAGATGGTTCTCTTGGTAAAATACCTGATGCAAAAGAATAAAGACCTGAGTTTGGATCTTTATCACACATGTAAAAACCAAGCACGATAGTATTTTTAATCCCAATGTTGGGGAGAGGAAGACAAGAGGATCCCTGGGGCTTGCTGGTTAGCTAACTATTCAAATAAACAAGCTACAGCCTCATTAAGTGATACTGTCTCAAAAAAGGAAAAAAAAAGAGCTGATACCCAACACTGACCTCTAGCCTTTCCACACACATATAGATATATATACACGCAAATATACGTGTCTGCTTGCACGTACATCTGCCCACACATAAAAATGTCAGGATAAGAAAAACTGAGAAAATTCCATCTCACTTTCTGCTTCAATACTTTATATCAACTCCACTGCTCCATTGTTTATATCAACTTTTATATTAAACTTTATGCAACTGCAAAGACTAGGCAGACAGAGGCATCTTAAGTCTCAAAATTCTCCCTGGTGCTTCAGACAGGGAGAGAGTCAAAGACCTTTCCTTGTTACAAAATAGCCAGGACTTTGGATGGGGACCCATAGCTTTCTTAGCAGAGAAGAGATGATACCTGCCTCTGGGAAGCCTTTTCTCCTGGGGAAAGGTAGGAATAGTACAGCCTTAAGAAAAATTCAGTCATTGCTAGCCACCTCGTTACATTCCTCATGCTCTACAACAGCAGAGGAAAGCACCTTCCAGGTCAAGATGATCGTATCATTCAGGGATGCCACTGAAGATCATGTCTACTCCAGAGGAATAACCCCTACCACTCACTTACCTTAATCTGTCTCACAGCTAACTCCAGTCCAGGGAAGCATTCTGGATTAATGAAGAGGGATATGATTGAGAGTTGGGGATTGCAGACTCAGGGCTGTGTAAAAAGAAATTAAAACCTTGGGATCAGAGAGAGAAACATGAAGGTGATATAAACACGTTATCTATGAGGAACCCTTACTGTTCCCCTGCCATCTGGAAGCCAAGAGGAGGAGATTGTTAGGGGTCAAGTGATTCATTCATCTTGCACACACTTGTATCCCATCTATGATCCTTGGTCTCAGACCTAGAGAAGCCAACACACAAACAAAAAGCCCAACTTAGCCCAGATTGGAATTAAAAAAAAATAATTAGGGGAAGATAAATTTAAGGTTGAATATAATCAAATCTCTGATCCTAGAAAGGATGATTTCACAATCGAAGTCAAGACCAAGGATCCTGAGATCTTGTCTGTTGCATGTATACACAGTTCCAGGACTACTATCAGTAGAGAAATGGAAATTTAAAAAGGGTGGGGGGATGGCTTGGGATCACATGCAAATTTTCCTCAGCTCTTTGTCCTGTTTAGTTCAGAGACCAATAGGAAAGACACAATCAGAAAGGGTATGCATTGCCAGTACCTTGTCAGAATGTATCCCCTCCCCTGTGTAGAAGGATATAGGAGAGGTCTATGCACTACTCTCTGCTTCTAGCATTCCTTCCTACTGGGCTCTGTCCATACAGAAAATTAGAAGGAGGAGGACCTATTTATGCGGAGAACATGTTCCACGCTGTGCTAATCACAGAATAGGCACAGCTTAGAAACCTCATAACCCATGGAGGAGAACCTTGCACAAGACTGATCCTGATGCCAACAGAAATGGGATTAGGCTGGTACTCACCTACAGGTAGGGATAGTAATCATAGGCCCCTGGGATCTAGGTGCTGATGCAACTAGCCTTCTCTTAAAGATGGACAACTAAGTTATCCTCCAGGGTGGGACCAACAGTGAAAATGGAGCTGGGGCTAGCAGGAGGGTCTGAAACTTGAAGCATAGTTGTCTCCAGACTGCAAAAACTAAGAAGAGGGTAATACAGACTGGACCTTCACCTCAGAAGAGGTCATATCTGACTGCTGCCAGCTTCTCTCAGGACACCAAGAGGTGAGTTTTCTGAAGTGTGGAGGAGTTGGACCAAGATCCCATGGTTCTTATCAGGAAAAGGGCAATACGTTGGCTACACTGTTGAACCAGACAGGAGACGTTGATTCTCCATCCTTCATAAGATTCAGCAAGGTCATCAAAGAGATCTACAGAAGCCTCCCAGAGAGACCAGACAGCATGGACACCTCTCACTGCCTCACATTGCTTTGTAATCTGAAAGTTCTCACAGTGACTTTCCATGGGAACCTCACATAGCTGAGCCCTCATGTCAACCTACACAGGCACCATGGAGATTTCTATGAAAGCGCTCATATACAAATCTCACAGACCCCCTGTAGAGGCCTCTACACAGACTGCACACAGACCTTTCAGTCACACAGAGGCCTCAATTTCATAGTTGTACCCCTTCTCACACAGACACATTCCCAGACACCACACTTAAACTTCCACATATACCTTATCTAGAGACCTGTCTCAGTCAGCAAATAGGGACCCACAGATACTGCTCACAAACCACGCAACTCAAAACACAAAGAACACCCCGAGTTCTCCAAAAGATGCCCCCTAGTCTGATGGCAGAGATTCCAAATAGCAAATTCCCCCAGAAACCCCGAGACACTCCCTCACATACATAGTAGAAAACAGAGACTCCCCTAGTCTCAGAAATCTCTCAAAGGGACCACCCTCCGCCATGCTCTACAGATCCTTCCTAGATTCCAACCACCATCTTGAAAAAACCTGGTGATATTTCCCCTCTCTCACAGGTGTAATTCAGAGAGCACGTTAGAGACTGCCACAGGACCTCCCTGGAGCTGTTCACGAGAACTCCTTTCTCTCTGCCACACACCTCCCTGGAGCTGTTCAGGAGAACTCCTTTCTCTCTGCCACAGGACCTCCCTGAGCTGTTCATGAGAACTCCTTTCTCTCTGCCACAGGACCCCCCTGGAGCTGTTCACGAGAACTCCTTTCTCTCTGCCACAGGACCTCCCTTGAGCTGTTCACGAGAACTCCTTTCTCTCTGCCACAGGACCTCCCTGAGCTGTTCACGAGAACTCCTTTCTCTCTGCCACAGGACCTCCCTGGAGCTGTTCACGAGAACTCCTTTCTCTCTGCCACAGGACCTCCCTGGAGCTGTTCATGAGAACTCCTTTCTCTCTGCCACAGGATCCCCCCTGGAGCTGTTCACGAGAACTCCTTTCTGCCACAGGACCTCCCTGAGCTGTTCAGGAGAACTCCTTTCTCTCTGCCACAGGACCCCCCTGGAGCTGTTCACGAGAACTCCTTTCTCTCTGCCACAGGACCCCCCTGGAGCTGTTCACGAGAACTCCTTTCTCTCTGCCACAGGACCCCCCCTGGAGCTGTTCACGAGAACTCCTTTCTCTCTGCCACAGGACCTCCCTGGAGCTGTTCACAAGAACTCTTTTCTCTCTGCCACAGGACCCCCCTGGAGCTGTTCACGAGAACTCCTTTGTCTCTGCCACAGGACCCCCCTGGAGCTGTTCACGAGAACTCCTTTCTCTCTGCCACAGGACCTCCCTCGAGCTGTTCACGAGAACTCCTTTCTCTCTGCCACAGGACCTCCCTGAGCTGTTCACGAGAACTCCTTTCTCTCTGCCACAGGACCTCCCTGGAGCTGTTCACGAGAACTCCTTTCTCTCTGCCACAGGACCCCCCCTGGAGCTGTTCACGAGAACTCCTTTCTCTCTGCCACAGGACAAAGGTATAGTAAAGCTGGGATTAGGTGGAATCTGCTATCACCTCTACTAGGAACCTCAGTGTGTTCATTATGTACAGCACAAGCAAAGGGGCTACCTAGTCTTAGTAGGAGGTCTCTGTAGGTGAGGTGTAGCTCAGGCTGTAAACTTCTGGAAAAGGAAGCTATGGTCGCTAGTTTTGTACACAATAATCAATTGTTCATAAACACTAATACTTAGACTGCTGAGCAAAATATTGTCATTCTTCTAGAGCCTGGCCAATATAGATAATGGCTTTGGCAACTTCTCATGGGTCCTAGGGCCACTGAGTCAGCAACATGGCTGGGTGCATGTCAACAACACATATTCACTTGTTGTAGGAGGCTGCTTGCTCCCGGCTGCTCAGCCCCGAAATAACCACACAAAACTGCATTAATTAAATCATGCTTGGCCTATAAATTCTAGCTTCTTGTTGGCTAGCTCTTACATCATAATTCAACCCATTTCCACAAATCTGTGTATCGCCACGTGGATGTGGCCTACCACCAAGGTTTTGTCAGGTATCTGTTTCTGGCAGGGCTACAGGGCTTCTCCTTGATTCCACCTTCTTTCTCCCAGAATTCAGTTTAGTTTTCCCTGCCTAGCTCTATTCTGCTAAGCCACTGAGCGAAACAACTTCTTTATTCATTAACCAATAAAAGCAACACATATACAGAAGGACCTCCCACACCATTTGTTCAGGACTTAACTCACTGGAGGGATTTCCTCCACTCCTTACAGAACTCTGATCCACAATTTAGAGAATCATACATTTTTAAACACTGGTTAATTTCCAGTGAAAGTGTTCTTTCAGTTTGTTACCATTTGCCCAAATCATATCAATGCCACATTTTTGTCTCTCATTGGGGGGAGGTTTTAAACTTAGATGATTTTCTATTTTTGAAAGACCTGAAGCAGAGGAACCAAAAACAACTTAAGGAATGAAAGGGATTATTTGTCTTACAATTTCAGTTATAGTGTGTCATTAAAGGATGTATGTCATTAAAGGAAACTGTGGTAAGAACACACACAGGAATTTGAAGCAGAAGCCATGGGAGAATGCTTCTTGCTTGCTTTATCAGCTTCGTGCTCAGCAGGCTTGCTCATACATCTCATGGCCCTCTTGTCTAAGGATGGTACCACTCACAGTGGACTGTGCTCTTCTACCTCAATAATAAAGACAATGCCCCACTCATATATCACAGTTCTATCTGATCTGGTAATCCTTAAGAGAGACTCCCTTATCAGGTGACTCTAGGCCAAAAGTTCTCAACCTGTGGGTTTTGAACCCTTTGCGGGGTATGAAATGATCATTTTATAGGGGTTACCTAAGACTATTGGAAAACGGAGATATTTGTATTATATTCATAACAGTAGTAAAGTTAGAGTCATAAATAGCAACAAAAATAATTTCATGGTTAGGGATCACCACAAAATGAAAACTGTATTAAAGGACCATAACACTAGGAAGGTGGAAAATCATTGCCCTAGTCTGTGTCAAGTTGAAAGTTAAAGTTCATTAGGACATTATATTTTAGGTTTGTTATTTCAGAGCTGAAAAAAGAGGCATTGTTTAAAACACTTAAAGACAAAAGTATTTACTTGTATAAATATAATTTCTGATAAGATTATTGTGATTGTTAATATCTGAACTGAAGGAAGTGTACATTTAATTAGACTTACATAATAGCAATTAATACAATGTCTGACTTATCTGACCATCACTTTCCAAAGGATGCACTTTGGTATGACTTTATGTTTCTCACATGAATGAACTGTTATCCATGCTGCAGCACACAGTGCACACTGCTCCAGCACACAGTGCGCACTGCTCCAGCACACAGTGCGCACTGCTCCAGCACACAGTGCGCACTGCTCCAGCACACAGTGCACACTGCTCCAGCACACAGTGCACACTGCTCCAGCACACTTGGTTTTCTGCAGTGCTGGGAATCAAATCCTTGGCTCTGCAATGCAAGGCAAATGCTTTACCAAATAAACTACATCGCCAGTTCAAGAATAAGAAATCTTGTATTTAAACTTACTTTAACTCAATATACTTTTCTCCCATAAATATACTACACTACTTTTATAAAAAAGGGGGGGAAAGAGTGAGGAAACTATAATCAAATCAACTTATCAACCTCTATGCTTAAGAGTTAAAATTTTGCACAAGATTGCATTCCCACCAGCAATGGATGAGGGTACCCCTTCCTCCACAACCTCTCCAGCAAAGGTTATCGTTGGTGTTTTTGACTTTAGCCATTCTCACAGGTGTAAGATGATATCTCAAAGTTGTTTTGATTTGCATTTCCCTGATTGCTAAGGAAGTTGAGCATGACCTTAAGTGTCTTTTGGCCATTTGAACTTCTTCTGTTGAGAATTCTCTGTTCAGATCAGTGCCCCATTTTTTAATTGGGTTAATTAGCATTTTAAAGTCTAGTTTCTTGAGTTCTCTATATATTTTGGAGATCAGACCTTTGTCTGTTGCGGGGTTGGTGAAGATCTTCTCCCAGTCAGTAGGTTGCCTTTGTGTCTTAGTGACAATGTCCTTTGCTTTGCAGAAGCTTCTCAGTTTTAGTAGGTCCCATTTATTCAATGTTGCTCTTAATGTCTGTGCTTCTGGGGTTATACATAGGAAGCGATCTCCTGTGCCCATCTGTTGTAGGGTATTTCCCACTTTCTCTTCTATCCTTTTCAGTGTGTTCGGGCTGATATTGAGGTCTTTAATCCATTTGGACTTGAGTTTTGTGCACGGTGAAAGATGTGGGTCTATTTTCATTCTTCTACAGGTTGACATCCAGTTGTGCCAGCACCATTTGTTGAAGATGCTTTCTTTCTTCCATTGTATATTTTTAGCTCCTTTATCAAAAATGAGGTGTTCATAGGTTTGTGGGTTAAAATCCGGGTCTTCTATACGATTCCATTGGTCGACTTCTCTGTTTTTATGCCAGTACCACACTGTTTTCATTACTGTAGCTCTGTAATAGAGTTTGAAGTCAGGGATGGTAATGCCTCCAGAAGATCCTTTATTGTATAGGATTGTTTTGGCTATCCTGGGTTTTTTGTTTTTCCATATAAAGTTGATTATTGTCCTCTCCAGATCTGTGAAGAATTTTGATGGGATCTTGATGGGGATTGCATTGAATCTATAAATTGCAACCACTATGGAAGTCAGTGTTTCGGTTTCTTAGGAAATTCGGGATCAACCTACCCCTGGATCCAGCAATACCACTCTTGGGAATATACCCAAGAAATGCCCTATCATATGACAAAAGCATTTGTTCAACTATGTTCATAGCAGTATTATTTGTAATAGCCAGAACCTGGAAACAACCTAGATGCCCTTCAATGGAAGAATGGATGAAGAAAGTATGGAATATCTACACATTAGAGTACTACTCAGCGGTAAAAAACAATGACTTCTCGAATTTTGCATGCAAATGGATGGAAATAGAAAACACTATCCTGAGTGAGGTATCCCAGACCCAAAAAGATGAACATGGGATGTACTCGCTCATAATTGGTTTCTAGCCATAAATAAGGGTCACGGAGTCTACAATAGGTGAATCTTAAGAAGCTAAGTAAGAAGGGGAACCCAAGGAAAAACATATAGTTATCCTCTTGGCTAAGGGAAGTAGACAAAATTGCCGGGGAGAAAATTGGGATCTTGGGGTGGGGTGGGGTGGGGGTAAGGGGAGATGGGGAGAGAAAAGTTAGAAGGGAAGGAGGTCGGGCCTTGGGAAAGCAGGAGGATTGGGATAAAGGAAGGTTGGACAGGGGAGCACGGAACCACAATTCTTAGTTAAGGGAACCACTTTAGGGTTGGCAAGAGACCTGACCCTAGAGGGGCTCCCAGGTGCCCAAGCTGAGGTCCCCAGTTAGTTCCTTGGGCAGTTGAGAATAGGGAACCTGAAATGACCCTATCCTTGAGCAATACTGACGAATATCTTGCATATCATCATAGAACCTTCATCTGGTGATGGATGGAGATAGAGACAGAGACCCACACTGGAGCACTGGACTGAGCTCCCAAAGTCCCAATGAGGAGCAGAAGGAGGGAGAACATGAGGAAAGAAGTCGGGACCATGAGGGATGCACCCACCCACTAAGACAGTGCTCACCAAGACCAGCTGGACTGTGACTGAAAAAGCATGGGATAAAACTGGACTCTCTGAACATGGCGAACTATGAGGGCTGATGAGACGCAAAGGACAATGGCACGGGGGTTTGATCCTACGTAATGTGATGGCTTTGTGGGAGCCCAGCCAGTTTGGATGTTCACCTTCCTAGATATGGACGGAGGTGGGAGGTCCTAGGTCTTACCACAGGGCAGAAAACCCTGACTGCTCTTTGGACTGGAGAGGGAGGGGGAAAGGAGTGGGGGGAGGGGGAGAAGGGTGGGAGGAGGGTCGTAAGGGGGGAGGAGGGGGAGGGAAATGGGAGGCTGGGAGGAGGTGGAAACTTTTTTTTCTCCTTTTCTCAATAAAAAAAAAAGAAAAAAAAGAGTTAAAATTTTAATTAACATACCATAATTTTTTCATAAACCATCTATTAATAACATTTTAAATATTATTTTTGGCATCTTTATGGAATTTACCTTAATTAGGGAAAATTCCACTTCTTACTCATTTCTCTCTCATAGCGGAAAGCGAGGAGACAAATGTGAATTTTCCATATGCTTTATATTCAGTACTTTAGGTCTTTTAAAAGCTAACCTAATGAACAGACATTTTCTCTTAAGCCCACTATTTATTTGGGTCAAGATCAGATTCTTGAGTGTGGTGGTGCTCACCCGGAATCCCAGCACTCAAGAAGGTGAGGCAGGAAACTCTCAAGTTCAAGACCAGCCTAGTCTACAAAGCAAGGCCCATTTTAAGAAGTAGTTGAGGAGCATTGCCTCAGAGGTGAAAAGTACTTGCTTCTCTGGAGAGGATCAGTGACTCACAACCTCCCAGGACTCAGGTTCCAGGAGATCTGCTGCCTTCTTCTGACCTCCATGGGCACCAGGTATACGTCATACAGAGACATACATTTGGGCAAAACACTCACACACATACAATAAAATAAATAAGTCTAAAAAAATGTTAAAAGCCAAAACTAAAACAAACACCAACTACGCGTGCTCAAAGTGTGAACTGGACACTGAAACAAAATGAACAAGTAAGGGTGTGAGGGCAGAGACTAGTACTGTTTCCCGATGTAAAACTCTCCAGCTGCACGTGTCTACTTCTTACAGCTTTGCATACAGCAGCTCTTGTATATGCTTGCGTGCCTGTGTGATTTTACCACAAAAGCTACATTTGGCAATGTCTGGAGTGATCTCTGTTTAAAGCTAGGAGCGTCATTCAACACCTAGAGTCAATGGACAGAGCTACTCCACACTTGGCCAGCCAAAAACACAATATAAGTGTAACACAGCATTTGGGAACGACTACCTAAAATTCAAGAATTATTGAAAATAGATCCAGAAGAAATTTCCTGGCATCATGAAACTGGACTTCATAATCTCTAGAACCAACGAGTCAAGAAACTGAAGGGGCTGCAACACAGAGATGTACCACATTACATGCAAATTTATCCGAGTGCTGCTTCCCAAATCTAAGGGCGGGACTGGGCAAGCCTTGACTCTGCAGCGTCTGAGTGCCTTAGACGTGACCGGCACGCACGGTTTTAATTTTTAATAATGAAGGAATAAGTGAAGGTGGATACTAACTGGACTTCTCTTTCCAACACAGCACGATCACTGTAGCCAGTGGTATTAGAAATGACGAAATGTCTTTGGTGCCAGACAGAGTTATTTCGCACATCCTCTTTGAGAAGCTGGTCTACATACTGTAGCTCATTATCCCAAAGTAGAAATTCCTAAAAGTTAAAAAAAAATCCACTCAGAAATGTCCTATTATTTATAACAACAACATGAACAAACAAAAAACAAGCACCATGTCAGCAAAGTTAGAAAGGTAGGCCTGAAGACAAGGCGGTTATCATATGTGTAGAGCAGCCTGTGATCCCAGCATTCAGAGAGTAGAGACAGGAGTATTAGAAATTCAAGCTCATTCTCAGCTGTATAAATTCAAGGCCCCCCAGGGCCACACGTAAGACATTGTCTTAAAAACAAAAGAAAAAAACTGAGCACAGATCCCACAAGGTCACAAACTAAATAAACAGAAGTCATCCAAGAAAATTTAGATGGGAAAACAAACAGAAATGAATAATAACGAAACATGAAAAGACTGAGTAACTTTACGAGCACACAAATGAATGCAATTTGGTATTAATACAGAACATTGAATAGAGAGCAGCATTATAAAATGCATACGGAAGCAGGGTGGGGGCACAGACCCGTTATCCCAGCATTCAGGAGGCTCAGGCAGGAGGATCAAGAATTCAGGGCTACCTTGGGCTACAGATTGAATCCTTGTCTCAAAAACAAAATACGTAAGCAAATTTTTAAAAGCAAATGCACGATAAAATTACCTGAAAACACATGTAGAGAAATACACAGAATGGTATGAAAGTTTCACTTTATGATTAGGGCATTTTGAAAAAGCTAATGTATTTTTATTTCTTATTGGACACTAGCAAGAGTAAAAGTTTCAGTAAGCTGGTTCCTGATTTTAAAAGTCACACTGAAAATAAGAAACTAAGGGAACATGTGGTGACGAATTCTGTGCTGATGAATGATGGAGGTGAGCGCTGTCTGTGTGGGCCATAAACAGTGAACACGCCTAGTCCTGCCGACCGTCCCCAAGCACCACTGCTTGAGAAACACTGGCTTACAGGTTTTCCTTCACTTTTAATCTTATGTATGTGTATGAGTGTTTTTCTTGCCTGCATGTCTGTGTACCATGTGCATGGGGGCCAGAAAAGGGCATCAGATCTTCTGGGACTGGAGTTACAGACCAGTTGTGGACTGAAGCTGGTAATCAAATTTAGGTCTTTGCAACAGCAGCAAGAGCTCATAACCACTGAGCCTTCTCTGCACCCCACTGTCTCACAGACTTCCACGGATGTGTATGTCTCACTTTCAAACTGAAGACATGGTTGACTTTTTCTTTTTGAGACAGGATCTTATGTAGCCCAGGCTGGCCTTAAGATCTTGATCTGCCTGCTCCCACTTCCCATGTGCTGGGAGTATAGGCATGTGACATCACACCTGAGAGGACATAGGCATGTGACATCACACCTGAGAGGACACACCTCTTCCCATTTTAGTTAGCATGAACAATGTACAGATTTTCTTCAGGTTTCAGATTTCACTTGTCTCTTATTATAGTTGAAACTAATCTTGTCTTCTAAAAATTGGGTTGAAAGCATGAAACCACACATATTGAACGTAAAAAGAGAAGAAACTTTATAATAGTTATAGGAACTTAAAAGCGACAATGTAACTCAAGGGTCTCTTGTACTCCTGTCATTCGGAACCTCTGAGAAGTCAGTAAAAAACAAACCACATGAGGTAGCTTTACAAAGACACTCGTAATACTGTATTTAAGTTGTTGTGGTAGGTAGGGGGCATGGGTGTGTGTGAGTATTTGTGTGTAACACACAGTTTTATGTAATTACAATTTTCTTTTCTATTTGCTTTGGTATTTGACACAGGGTCACGCTATGTCCCCCAATCTAGCACGGAATTTGCTTCTGTAGACCAGGGTGGCCTAAAACTCAGAGATCTGCCTGCCTCTGCCCCCTTAAGTGCTAGGATTATAAATATGAAACCATCATATTTAGCTGATTACAGTTTTAAATAAAAATAAAAATACTAGGGCTTGGGGTATACCAAGCTCATAGACTGCCTGGCATGCACGAAGCGCTGGGTTCAATCCCACTGGCGCACAAAATTGAATGTAGTAGAATCCCAGCACTTGGGAAGCAAAGGTAGGAAGGTCAAAAAGCCCAGATCCCCATTCAGACGCATACTTAGACCCTAAGGAAGGCAGTACCTGAATGACCCACTGTCGATGCTGCCATGCATAATTCTTTGCATCCTGATTAAGAATATCAGCAATGAACTCCAGCTCTTGAGAGGGGTCTTTTAGCCATTCCACTAAGACTCTCCGATGGTGCCTGAGAAAGAAGGGGGAAAGCTTAGGTTAGCCCCGATGACATGTCAGCTACAGGTGCTACATGAGGTGATGCACTGGGCGTTCAGGAGGCACAAATTCACAACACTGCTAGAAAGAGATTAAGTGATAGAGAATGCCAGCACACTGGGAGCTGAGAGGCACAGTGACAGGTGTGCACAAGCAGGTATGACTTCTCTCCAACCAGACTTGCAAGGACAGTAAGCTTTCAAAGCCTAGGACTGTTGTGCAGGATTCTGAAGCACTGCATATAGATGAACGAGAGATGTGAAACTAGCCCGCCCGGTTTAATGACTCTACTGCAAACTAGTCAGCTACCACTATGTTCAAATGTCACCTACAGGAGACTTCCCTCTACCAGTCTGGCAGAACTTACTGACCTCTGCCCCAGAAAATATATAACTAGGACAAGTTACAGCTTTGTCACAAGACAGTTTCTGTGCTAGAAAAATACTTGTGATTTATACCGGGTTCCATTTTCAGTTTTCCTTCTCTAAAAAGTTATACACACCTAAGATTCTAAGATGCACTGGGAGGCTTGGTAGCTGGCTCAACACTAGAGCATCTGCCTATGTGTGACTCTGGGTTTCATCCTCACATGACTAGGAAAAAAACAGAATCACGGTGAAAACACATACCTGTGAATAGTCTAAAAAGATCTCTGGTTTATACGCTACAAATTGCATGTGTGTGACATGTACTGGAATAATATCAATCTTTAAAAAATTACAGTATTTATTATACTAATGAGGAGTGACATGAAAAAGGAGAATTCAACGCCCAATTAGTAACCTATACTAGATGGATGAAAAACCTAAAGAATTCATTTCACATATATGAAAAAGGCAAAATACTATCAATAAAAAAATCCTAGGTAGTGGGAAGAACCTAAATGCCCCTCAGCTAAAGAATGGATAAGGAAAATGTGGTACATTTATACAATGGAGTACTATACAACAGAGAAAAATAATTACATCTTGAAATTTGCAGACAAATGGATGGAGCTAGAAAACATCAAATTGAGCGAGGTAACCCAGACCCAGAAACACAATTATCATATGTACTCATTCATAAGTGGTTTTTAAACATAAAGCAAAGAAAACTGGCCTAGTAATCACAATCCCAGAGAACCTAGACAACAATGAGGACCCTAAGAGAGACATACATGGATCCAATCTACATGTAAAAAGTAGTAAAAGACAAAATCTCCTGAGTAAAATTGGGAGCATGGGGACCTCAGAAGAGTGTTGGGGGGGGGGGAGACAAAGAGGACCAGAGAAAAATGTATAGTTCAATAAAATCAATATTTAAAAAAAGAAAAGAAAAAGAACATCCTGGGTAGAAAGACTTCTAGATTTATTATTAAAACTCTCCCGGTCACTGACTATTACTAACAATTTCTTATCCCAGGGTTCTGTAAGTTTTACAAAACTGACTTCTCAGAACAAAACAATACAATATTTCCCTAATATTCTGTGATCTAAAGACTTAAACAGAGAGGAATAGTTTACAGCAGAGTTTCACAGTGAGAACTTAATAGAAGAAGAAACTGAGTAAGGTGGCCTTTAATCTCAGCACTCAGGAGGCAGAAGCAGGTGGACCTTTGCGTTCAAGGCCAGCCTAGTCTACAAAGTGAGCTCCAGGACAACCAGAGAGCTGTAACACAGAGAAACCCTGCTTTGAAAAACCAAAGACCAAAGAAAAACAATACAAAACAGGACCTGCTGTAGAATATTATTTTAAGATGTGTTACATTTGTCTATGCTGTGGAACATTTGTTTGAAGGATGCAAAGATGTGTTGTTGCATTCTTTCATGTTGCATTTGTTTTAACTATGTAAAGCTGTGTAACTTTGCCTGTCTAAAACACCTGATGGTCTGAAAGAGGGCTGAATGGCCAATAGTGAGGCAAGAGAAAGGATAGGCAGGGCTGGCAGGCAGAGAGTATGAACAGAAGAAGAAGAGAGAAAAGAGAGATCAAGGAGTGAAAAAAGAAGGGGCCAGCCACCCAGCGACCCAGCCAGCCAGTCACACAGCCACCCAGCCACCCAGCCACCCAACCACCCAGTCAAACAGCCACCCAGTCACCCAGCCACCCAGTCACACAGCCACCCAGCCACCCAGTCACCCAGCCACCCAGCCACCCAGTCACCCAGTCAAACAGCCACCCAGTCACCCAGTCACACAGCCACCCAGTCACACAGCCACCCAGTCACACAGCCACCCAGTCACCCAGTCACACAGCCACCCAGCCACACAACCACCCAGTCACACAGCCACCCAGTCACACAGCCACCCAGCCACACAACCACCCAGTCACACAGCCACCCAGCCACACAACCACCCAGTCACACAGCCACCCAGCCACACAACCACCCAGTCACACAGCCACCCAGTCACACAGCCACCCAGTCACCCAGTCACCCAGTCACACAGCCACCCAGTCACACAGCCACCCAGTCACACAGCCACCCAGTCACCCAGTCACCCAGTCACACAACCACCCAGTCACCCAGTCACCCAGTCACACAGCCACCCAGTCACACAGCCACCCAGTCACACAACCACCCAGTCACCCAGTCACCCAGTCACACAGCCACCCAGTCACACAGCCACCCAGTCACCCAGTCACACAGCCACCCAGCCACACAACCACCCAGTCACACAGCCAGCCAGTCACACAGCCACCCAGTCAGAGTGAAAGCAAGATTACAGAGGTAAGAAAAGGAAAGAGCCCAGAGGCAAAAGGTAAACAGGATAACTTAAGCAAAGCAGGCTAGAAACAAGCCAAGCTAAGGCAGACATTCACATTCCCAAGTAAGAATAAGCCTCTGTGTGTTTACTTAGGAACTGCATGGCAGACCCCCAAAAGAGTAAAACAACCAACAACCTTTTGGCATTCCAACATGGGGTTAGAGTAAAAATTTCCCAACTACAGGACCAATTAGTTAGGGTGCAGGACTTGTATTCCCATCTTAGGTAGCATGAAAGCCAGCAATGTGGACAGTTTCAAACGTACCCCAAGTAAACACTGCTGGGCGATCAGCAGCAGCTGGTTGGATCTGTGTTCTGGTTCTGCTAACACTGGGTGACGGATGTTACAGTGTCTGCAGTATTCAGACAAGAATCTACTTCTCTTTAGAGAAAACTAGACATACTTAACACAATACCTGAAATATCTGTATCATATTGCTTTTGATTTTTAATATAAAAGCATCTTAACAGAGTATCTTTACAGCAAGGTCTAAAGCAGAAATCTCCAACCTCCCACGATAGCTATGAATGGAGCCAAACACATCTGTAATGACCACACCATGCTGGAATGTCGAAAGGGTGGACACTAGGTCTAAAATTTCTAGCTAATCTTTTCTGGCTTAAAAGAATCTTTTGAATTGTTCTTTCCTACTTCTGTTTGGTATTGTTTTGCATTTTTCGACAGTCTCACTGTACCCACTGGCCTGTAGCTACCTCTCATGGCTTGACCCCCGAACACTGGGGTTACAATCATGTGTCACCATGCCTGGCTTAACAATTATTTTATACCGCAGATGTCTAAGGCCTGGAGCTGTCTGGTTTCACAGGGTACAGTGGTGAAGTCGCTTGTCACAGCTGTCCTACAAAAGGAAATGTCTATAGCAACTGCCAGTTGCATGATTTGGAAAATCTTGTTGCATTATTTACTGTTAGATCATTTATATTTCAATTCTTTGAAAATTTTACATTTATGTCAGTTACATACTAGTTCATGATAAAATTGAATTACAAAAAAAAAAATTACCCAGCTGAGTCAAATAGCAGCTCATGCTTGCTACCTCCTACATTTGCAATGAAGTGGTTCTCCTACAGCTAAGCTGTGCCCAAGACGGCTCCCCATTCCAATCTTTATCCCAACTTTTATCTGAGCTCTCAGCTTCTTTCTTAGTACTGATCCTCCCTCTCCATAAACGTGCATGTACTGCAGCCTGAGCACAGGGCACTAGGATGCTAACTAAGCACATGCTCTGCTCACACCGTCAGCTTCCACCTGCCTCTTGATCTTGATTCATCGGTGCTCTGCCTGACTGCTGCTTACATTCTCCCTGAACGCCCTCATCCACAGCCGTGACTTCACTTCCAGGAAGCAGACAGTTGTAGTAATAAGGGGCGGCGGAGCTGCGTCCCTGGCACCCCAGCCGCCTGGCTAGCTTATGCCCTGAAATAACAACACACAAACTGTATTCATTTAAACACTGCTTGGCCCTTTAGCTCTAGCCCTTACTGGCTAATTCTGATATCCCAATCAACCCATCTCTAATAATCTGTGAGAACCAGTCTTACCAGGAAGATTCTAGCCTAGTCCATCCTGGGTCGGAGTTTCATGGCGTGTGTCTGCCCGGGAGCGGGGCATGGCGTCTCTCTCAGGCGTCTGCTCCCGAGAGGAGAGCTGTGGAGTCTGAGCTCACTTCCTCTTCCTCCCAGCATTCTATTCAGTTTACTCCTCCCACCTATCTTCTAACCAATGAGGGCCAAGCAGTTTCTTTTTATTTAACCAATGACCTTCCTCCATCATTTCCCCTTTTTCAATTTAAACAAAAAAAAAGGCTTTAACTTTAACATAGCAAAATTACATATAACAAAACAGTTATCAAGTAAAAGTTACAATAATCTTTATCATAACTAAGGAAAACTATAACTATAACTAACTATTCTTAACTCCATCAAAGACTCTAGAAAGATACAATACTACCTAAGCAAACAAAAAAAAAGCAACTTTTAAAACTCTAGAAATGACAGAGACATCTCGCTGCCTGGACAGTCACCCAAAGTTCCTCTGTACCGTTGGGGCATCCATCTTCAGCCTTCAGGCCCATGGTATACAGCAGACATTTCCATAAAGCAGGAAAATTCAAAGTCAATTCAGTCACTATCTGTTGTGTCCTGCAGAATGTCTCGCAGACTCTTTCATGAATCAGGAACCCCAAAAGATCATCTCACCTTGGGCAAG